TTAGTCAAGAAGTTTTAGATACATACTATAATCTTAAAACCAATTTATCCTCGAGGCATCATTGTTAGAACTTTCTATATCCACAATTTGGCTAATCTAAACTTCAGTAACTTATGTCAAGTCTAAAAACAAGTATTTGTAAGCTAAAGCCACTACCATTACCTACTTCTACCCTTGTAAAGTTTATCCAAACTCTAACATCTATTATACAGACTGTCTATCATTTCTTTAGTTCTCCAAACTCCTGCTTGAAAGGGTGGACCTCTTTTTTCAGTTTTCACTAGCTGTCTGATTGATTTGATGCCTTGCCAAACATCTCAATTCTGTCTGGTTCTCAGTTCTTCAATTGATAATTCTTTATATAGCACTATTGAAAGTCTGTACTACTTTTCTACTTAGAATTTACCAAGTAGGCTTATATACCCAGCCCTTGGATTTACTTAGCTGCTTTACTTAAGTTTCATATAACTCATATATTACACTAAATATTTTATAGCTTCTCAGTATAAGCTAGTACAACCAAAACTACAGATCTAATAATCTATCAGATTATACATAGTCTGCTATAACACATTTTATAAAATTTAAATTTCGTTACTAGTAAGATTCAAACTCTTGTTCTGTCACTTAGAGGTGTAACAACTTACCAACTTCACTAAGTCATCACATCTTTTTCAATTTTAAATTCTTTATAATTAGCATATAAGAATTGTATAATAAATTTTATTCTTTATTATTTATTAAAATTAAAATGTTATTAAATATTTTAATAGGCAGAAACCAAAATTTTAAAACAATCTTTAAGCTAACTGATGATGTTTTTAAACAATCAACTTATCTCTTTTTGCTGATCATCAAAACACAAATTTTTCAAAAAATAAAATTAATAAAAACTACAAAAAAAACACAAAAAGCTATTAGAAAACAAAACTTGAAGCTCTAAGAAAAGAAGAAGAAGACTACAAGAAATACTTAGTCTTTTAAGAGACTTGAGTAAAAGGAACAGAAGTAGCAAAGAAATAGAAGAAGTTGTAAAAAATCAGTGATATTTTTTTGCATTTTGCAAATTTTTGGGAAATCGGCCTTGATCCTGAATTGCAGTTCTATTTTGGTAGTACAAGAATTACAATGCGTAATGAAAAATAAACAAAAAAAACATATCAAAAACTATATGACAAAAATAAACAATGGAGGTAAACAATCACAACAAGTAGTAACAACAAACAACAATAACCAAAAAACAACAGGTTATATAAAGCAGAAGTTAGTATAAGGTTCTGGAAGAAAATCTGTTACAAAAAAAGGTGTATTAAAAGCTATTCAGGATATAACAATAGCAATAACTGATGAAATGATAAACATGCAAGTAGAACAGATAATAACGAAATATACTGGAAAGCAACTTATTCCAGAAGAAGTAGCCAAAGCACAAATAGAAGAACTTTTCAAAGAATTATGGAGGTATAGCAGAGAAGAATTAGAGTATACAGAACTTGCACTTATAGAAAGAGACCATGAATATTTTATGAAGCAATACAAAAAGGAGAAGATCCAGTCATTAATATTATAAAAGAAGAAATAATCAGTATTATAGTAGAATTAAAAATGGCTGACAGAATAAGAAGATTATTAGAAGATAGAAAAAAACAAGATGCTGAAATAAGGTCAAAATTAGAATTAGAATAGAGGAAAAAACTTCAAGAACAAAAAAAAATCAACAAAAACAATACAATAAAACAGTCCTGAAGTTTATAATACAACAATTCAAAAAATCTGTCAAGACTACTGCAGCAAACCAATAAGAAATTAAAAGAAAAGCCAAAAAAGAAAAAGAAAAGATGTAAGTTTGACAAAAGAAAAAGCAAGCTGCTAAAATAAAGTTAAAGTTAAATCTAGATTAGAGTAAGAGACTTCAAGAACAAAGGAAAATTCAACAAAAGCAGCAGAACTAAAAAGTATTAAAAACTCTAATATTACAGTTTAAAATATTTGTTGAATCTACTGCATTTAGACAAAAAAAGGAAAAAAGAAAATCAAAGAAGAAACAGAAAAGAAAAGCAAAAGACAAAACATTTTAGATTTTACAAAAACAAAAATACAAAATAAGATTCAAAAAGAAACAAAACCAAAAATTGTACTAACAACTCTGGCAAAATGGTTAATAGAAGTAATATATTAAGTTAGTATTAAAGATTTGCAACCTAATAATAGGACATAGAAAAAGAAGAAGAAAGAGTTGCTTGCAAAATGGATATATAGTGTGAAATCCCAATGGAATTTAAGATGCTTGAAAGACCAAAGAAACATAAATTTAAATTTGTTTCAAGATATAATAACTTATAGATGGAAAGGTACCAAAAATTAGAAAAAGAAGAAAAAAGATATATGATTAGAGATACTAAAAAAGATCTTTGTAGAAATCCTCGAGAATCAAAGAATCTTTGTTGAAATTCAAAAAAAGTTTTTGGAAAGAAAACCAAAGTCTAGGAAGAAAAAGAAAAAAAAAAGTTAAAGAAAAGAAAAAAAGAAGACTTCTATACCCAGAACATAGAAGAAAATAAATTCAGGTGGACTATTCAAGACTCTGGAATGAGAAGACCAAAAGAAGACCCAAGATTTTTTGAAGAAAAAAAAACTTACAAAAGAATATTTGTAGAGAAAGAATACAGAAAAAGCTTCTAAGAAGCAGAAGAAGACCACGAAGCTGTAAAAAATAAGGTCCTAAGAAATGGGTCTTTATTCAGAAAGAACAGGTTTAATTGGAAGAAGAAGAAAAGGAAACACAAATATAAACGAGAGATTTTTGGCAATAACACCTTATTGAGAAAGGAAATAAAATTGTTTATTAATAGAAAATTAGTTTTACTGTAGTTCATAATAAAATGAATAATAGTTTAAAAGGGAAAAATTGCCAATTTAGTTTAGTTAAAAATCTCTTTAAATCGAAACCATCTTGCTATGGTTTCACTAGCTAGCTTGGTACAGCCCTCCAGTACAGGCAAAAGCTTTAACAGGTGAGGCAGACTACACTTGAATGTCTATAGAGGAAGCTGAATAATATTAGATCTATAACTTAGATACGGTAGTTTATAATATAACTTTACATTAGCTTTGATCTAATAAAGATACCAACGAGGCTGCTAATAAAGAAAAAAAAAATCTCCAAAAAAAAAAAAAAATTTTGCAAAAATTTTCAGGTTTAGTTTCTTTTTTCAATATCTAGCCTAATATATAAAATCTATATACAGTATATTAATGCAAATAAAGTTGAATAGTAAATATTTATAGCTTATTTTATATATAACTAGGTTAATAGAAACCATTAAAAACCAAAGAACTGTAAATTTCTCATTGGTTGATCATCGCATAGCAAAATTGGTTATTATAAACAGCCAATCAAAATCAAGAATTTTCTTACAAAAATGATCTACATTAATCCAACCAATCATATTCAAGAATTTGCGAACAGACGGACATTCAGGTGATCTACTTTTCCAACAATTAAGTCCTTCGGACAATTAAGTCCTTCGGACAATTAAGTCCTTCGGACAATTATATATATAGTACGAATAAAATGAAGCTATTGTAACTGAATGGATTGTAAATACTTATAGTATAAAAACAATTGTTAAAAAAAAGAAGTTCTAATATTTCATACTGGAGGACATCCGTAACCCGCGTCCGGGATGAACCAACAATCCTGCGTCCAGAAAAGTCGCGAATCTACAACTCAGCCGATCTCGAACCTAGAATTTACTCATTACAGGTAATCATAGTGGTTCCTACGTCTGAACCGTTAAGCCATATCAGAACGGTATATATATTTTTTTTTTAAACTAAAATTTATTTGAAATTTCAGTTATATAAATACAGAAATATATAAAAAATATAATATAATCAGTCGACATAAATTTATCGACTTGACTAGAATAAATTACTCGTTGTATATTAAATACACATTGGCTTAGCCAGCATACAAAGTCAAATACTGGCACTCTACAATTATAAAGTGGCGAACATAAATCAGCAAAATGTAGATATATTTCTCGATTTTCTGGTTTCTTTAGTTAATAATCATTTTAAACATAATCTGCACTTTTTTACTGAATAAATCGAACCTCACTCACAAATAAAAAATGATATTTCGGCCAACTTACTTAGTAAGTGAAATTCGGTTTGCTTAGTAAAAAAGCCCAGATTTTTTGTAATGTGTTCAATTCGCCACTTTACCTCCATTCGCCATAATACCTTTTTACCTTACGTATTATTTGTAAATTGTCACTTTATGTGATGGCTTGTCAGCAAAATGGAATAATGTAAACCTCTCAAAAACTAATACGTACTAAGGTGTAAACATGAACAGACTAAAAAAGCTATGGACATCGAAGATGTACAACACTGCATGTATCAGTATAGCGATACGTAGTCGCCACAAAAAGTAGCACTGATTTTCTCTGCAATAAAAGAAAAATCGAGTTACGTACATACGTACGCACTTTCTGAGCTATAATATTGTACATACAGTATCAATTGAGTTGACGTTTTACGACTTCCTGATCTGTTCTGCTTCCAAGTTATTACTAATCTAATTACAGATCAATTATAAAAATGGCATAGCGATAGTATCATACGTATTAAAATTTGCAGCAAATATACATGTACGTAAAAACTTTATAGAATTGAATTGCATATGTTTTTCTTTTTTGCATGAATCATAAAGTGTTATCATAAATTACAGGGGAAGTTCCAAGAAACCATTTGACCTTTCAATAAATAATATATAAGAATATTAAATCGATATTCTGTTTACATGTCGACTTAGAAACACAAATACCAGATATATGTGATATAAGCTTAGGCATATGATATCGATATCAAAAAATTGTAATAACATTAATATTGGCTAATATTTAAGAAGATTTTAAATTTTTTTTCATAAGGAAAATAGCGAGATTTTACGAATAAATAATATAAAAAATCGAAAATAATAACGACCACCATTAATCTTTTGGTGAAGAGGGTGGAGTTGAAGACGAAGAGTTTGATGAAGTAGAAGTGGTCTCGGAAACACCATCCTCCAATTCTTTAACCTCTTTTGGCCAAACACCAACTAACCTAATCATACTACCCCAAGCCAAGTCAATGACCCATCTAGGTAATACGTTGTTCACTAAAACATGAACCTTGGCAAGAGTTCCGACCACGTAACGATCCCTAGGAAAACCAACTTCAATCGCTTCAATAATTGTTCTAATTATTGCCTTTGGGTTATCCTGTCCAGAATGAAGTTTCTGCCAAAACTCGATAGCTTTTTGGACATAGTCCTCACCGTAAAGAGTAAGGGTTTGTTCTGTAATTGCAGGGGAAGCGAAAAATTTCTTGGATACTTCGACAAGATCTGGATGACTAAATCTGCTTTTAATAGGGACCGCCTCGATCATAGTAACGTGAATCTTCCATGGTAATAATTCAATTCGAATTGTGTCTAACATGGCTTCCAAAGCATGTTTTGACGCACTGTATGCGCCATAGAAAGGTACGGTAGTTCGACCTAATATAGAAGTCATATTGATAATACGCGGAAATATATCTTGATCTTTAGCAGGTTTTTTAAGGTTATATTTGATGTTTTGTCGTAAACTAGGCAACAATGCCTTAATAATTTTGATTGGACCTATAAAATTTACTTCCATAGTTTTTGCAATTTGATCATTTGAAGTAAACTCAAAAGCAAAACCTTCATTACATCCAGCATTATTAATTAAGGCAAAAAGACCTTTATCCTTTGTTTCATTAACAACCATACGAGCGCATTGTTGGACGGAAGCATCTTTCGTGACATCAACTAAAAAGGGGCGGAGGTTGGTAGTAGAATGTTGCTCATTAAATTCTAGGAATTCTTTAAAAGCTGCCTCAGTGAGACATCCTAATGCGATGAAAAAAATATGGCGAATGAGTCCAAAAAACAGGTTTGAAATTTCCTAATCTAGAAATGAACATATATATTTTACCTGCGAGTACAGAATAACCCCTCCTATGCAACGCCTTTGCAATCAAATTTCCGATACCGGAATCACAACCAGTAATAAGTACATAACGATCCGCAAATTTTTGGTTCGGCGGTGGGGAAGAAAAGAAACTACCAACATATGAAATGATACCCATTGGATATATGATTATGAATCGTGATAGTTTATTTTGTAATTCGATGTCGAAATTAAAACTTTTCTCGGGAAATATAAATTGGTTTAAGATTTCTTTGAAATGTAGTTTGGAAATTCGTTAAAGCGAATGATCAAAACTTCAATTGTTGCTATAATCCGATAGATAAATAAGAATGCATCAGATTAGCTAAAAAAGTATTTGAGATTTGATAATGATGGATTACTGACCTCGTATAAAATCGTTTGGCTCAAAAAGAGAAACAAGAATGAATGATTGCGAAGGACATCAAACGAGGAGGGGTTGAATTGTTGCGAATCAACATAAATGACTTGATAAATTTGTCACGATATTTATGTTATTTATAAAAAAAAAAAAAAAAAAAAAAAAAAAGAGTGTATAAATAATGCAGAAATAAGGTTTGAATTGATTATGATATTCGTCGCGAAGCACAAATATAAATTCAATAAATAAGTAATAAAAAAAATAAAAAAAAGATTATATAATTCGATTATTTTGCATGTGAAAATTTTACGTTGTATATTTAATAATGTAAAAAAGAAATAGATTCCTGAAAATTCAAAGCATTCGGTTAAGCCAGCCATCAGTCACACTATTTAAAGAGAACAAACAATGCTGCAAAAAGACAAGGGTCTGAAATTCTAAAAAAAGCAATTTAAAAAAATGCTACTATTTCGTATATGCAGACCTGCCATGCCACTTACCATAATTGATCTTGAGATTTCTCAATTCTGATATTACGTATTACCGTTACAGTTCTGAAATAGTTACCCGAGCGCAATTGATCATTATGATCTTTTATTCTTTTAAATAATAAAAATAAATAATATATAAATTTGAATACGTGCGTACGTACATACGTAGGATCCCTGCCACCATGCATAAAAAAAAAGGGAAAGAAAGAGGCGAGCTTTGCATATTGCAACCGGAAATCTGGATGGCAAGTGGACCTTATGCAGAATTACGCGAATAACTTGTAATTCTCTTTGTGAAAGGACATAAAAGACTCGTGGACTTACATTTGAGCTGATCTGTGATCCATAAATGAGCATTTGCATAAGAAACGAAACAGACCGCCAAATTGTGGAATCCAAGATATTCACAATTGTTTCTATTAACATGGCGATGGTATGGCACCACGCTGCGTAATCTATATTATCGAATTTCATTGTTTCATATTCTGAAGATGTTCTTGCTATTTGTCAGTAAGTTTTTAGCAAAGACTGACGCACACGTGCGTCCAATTCAATAATTCGAGTTTTAACAAGAGTGATTCTCTAAGAGCAGCATGTTCGTGCAACCATCAGATCGTGGACATTACGCAATAGTTGTTAACTTTAAGCAAGATTTGCGGTTTTTTTATTTTTTTATTATTTTTGACATTTGACATGAAAACAAAGGCACTCAAGCCATAAACAACCCATGAGAACAAATAAAATGTCAAATACCAGGGAAGCCACAATGTTATATTGTTCTCAACAACGTATGGTATAACAAATGTAGCCCAACAATGAGAATAGAACAATGATCATTTATTTATCGTTTATCGGAAATATAACAATCATTTTTTCTTCACAAATAAAGCGGTTTTAATGATTAATATCTCATGGGAAAAGAAATAAATAAGAAAAGCCCGTTTTTGATTGATGCACTGTATATTATAATTCGTTCTCAAATTTCTATCATGAAACAAAACCGATAATCAAATACAATTTGAAAATTTTAAAAATCGTTCACATGTAATTATGCATCATTATAATGGATGCATTCATGATCTGTATCGGCATGCTTGTGCGCACTGCACATTATACCAAATTTGATATGCACAAACTGCAGGCTATTTTAGGATAACATGATTTATTCGGAATTTTATTTACCAATGATGAACCTGTGAAATAATTTCACTACTATTGGTGAAATCTCTATCTCTGTTACAATTAGTCTATTTTTTTAAAATTCTATGTGTGAAGCCTTCATGAAAAATAGATTCAATTTACAATCTTGAAGATCATCAAAATCCAGACTTGCGTGTCCTTTTTTTCCTTGGCCGTTTTGTAACAATTTCCTCGTTACTCTCGACTCCATCAGCTTCAAATGCTGACGTTTGCTCATCCGATGTATGCATACTAAAGTAATGATCCCCATCTGATTCTCCAGAAGTTGTCATAGTTTCTTGAATGAGTTTATTATTTACACGTCGATAATGATATTCATATTCTTTAACATCTTGTCCGATAATCCAGTCATCGAACAATGTCTGTACAGTAGGTGTAAGCTCAAGTGATTTATTAACTTGTGATAATTTATTTTTATCACGCGATATATCACATTTTATTGAAAAAGTTTCAAAAGGTTCATATATTGGTGTGACTTTTGACATTGGGAGAAAATTTGAAGATAGAGAATATTCCGAATTATTTTCATATTTCGATACTAAAGCGTGAGAGCTGAAAGTGAGATCTCGGATAAGTTCTTCTATTGCAAATTCACGAAGACATTGAATTTTATCATTAGTTTCTGGATAATAAATTCCATCCAAGAAATCTATTATTTTCTTCCGTAAAATGTCAGGTTCTTCATCTTGATTGCGTAAAGGTAATGAATAGGCATTTCGCAAAGCAGCATCGATATCAGTTACTTCTTCATATTGGTTATCGTCAGTGACAATGAAATATGGAAAGCCAAATATTTTTGGAATAGTGGATGACGAACAAAATTTGTTAGAAACAATCGATAATTGTTCCAATAGTGCATTTAAATTGATATTAGTCCAATCGATCGAGATTTCCACCTTATCTTTTTCCATCACATGTAAGTTGCCAAATTGTTGAGCGCACGATATTTTGGATCGGTCTTCTAATTGAGTACCCGGCATATTTTTTAGTATTTCATATCTGTTAATTATGGTCAAGAAAATATATTGTCTAGCTATCAAAGTTTTGGGATTTCTTACAATATAAGGGACTTTATAATCAATTGATTAATAATACATTTTATTAAAGGGGTCCTTTATACTGTAAGAGATTCAAATTTTGAACGATCAAAATAAAGGATACATTGTCATCGGGTGCCCAAAATTATCAACCATATCAAGTTTTTTGCGAAAAAAACTCTCCCATGCCGAAATATCATCGTCCTGGGCCATTGGTGAAAAAATTTGGTGAACATCAAACTTATAGTCATTAGACAAAACAGTTTCCTTGGCCGGATTTGAACGAAATATAGGGGAAAACGTTTTGTGATTATGTTTGTTGCTAAATTTCGTTACATATATGTTACTATCGGTCTTTGCTTTATCAAGAGTAATTTTCCATCTGCATGGTACAATTTTTCTAAGACGCTTCGAACGTTCATAAATCGCGCCCTCCGTACAAGCATAACTTATCGTGCGCACTGATCCAACTATGTCTGTTGTTATTGATTTTTGGCGATAACAAAATCCCATTTCCCGACAATACTTTTCAAAATATATTTCTACATGCTCCCATGATAGAAACATAGTTCCAATTTCAAGAACTGTTGGCGCCTCATCATCGGGAAGTAATTTAAAATCTTTAGTAACATCTTTATCAAAAGTTATTTAACAAGTGAAAAAAGCGTGCATATGTTAAGAAGCTCGTCGGCATTTCGTTAAATTTAAAACCAAGAGACAAATAATGCCTGTACTTACAGTTCCATATTTTTTCAAAAGGCCACTTTTGGTAACATTTAAGTTGCATTTCAGGATTTGTTCCGACATCTTGGTCTGCGATGAATTGTAAACTCGCCACTGATGTCGGCATTTCGGCAATTTGCATGTCTTCTTTTTTTGAATTTATCTTTGCTTGTGGATATACAGACGTATGAAGCCGGGAATAAAAAATCTGTGAATATAAGGCTCCTGTTTGCGATAACTGCATCACACTGAAACATGAACCAAAACTTCTAGGTTTAGCCGCTTTGATATTATTACGTAGCAAAAGTACACTCGCTAATGGTGGTAGTGTTTGGGGTTGTATAAATTCTTCGGCTATCTTATATAGTCTTGATGGATTGGGAACCCTCAAATATTTTGAACGACAATAAGTTGGATGTGTGTGAAATGATGGAATCAAATTAGGATAGCCCGTCGCAGTTACTAGTCCTGATTTGGAGGTTGGAATCTGAAATGCCATTATCTTTGGTGGATTTTTTGACCATGTTAAGATAGTTGATGCTGCAATTTTTAGAATGAATAAATGACTGTTGTCATAATAAATACAATACACATATTTGTAAGCTACATTATACGTACTTTGTTTGTCTATTAATGTATTCAGTCCAACAGGTAGGTCAGTATTATAATGAATCCATGAGAGTAGTGGCCTTTTGGGAAAGCGTTGATCCAAAAGTATAACTTTACTGTCCGTTACTAAAATGGATTGAAACGGATTAGGGTATGGCATCTGCTGAAACGCATATATTTGATCTCCTTCAATTGTACTAAACATATTGAGTGGTTGTGTGTTACACGCATTCTATAAGATTGAAAAAATCTGAGTGAAACTTTATTGTAAACGTGGCAACATGGTAACTTATGCTGAAACTAACTGCTAAAATTTTTATTTATATAATGCCCATTAAAACCCACATCCATATATATCTACATTCTAACTCTATAAAAAAGACTATGAAAAACCAGAAATGTTGTAAAATTTCATAATAAATATAGTCGAAATTTTGGCACCAACCAATTTCAGCATCAGCTACCACAATAAATGTCTAATAATAAACAGTATAAAATCATATAAGTTACCCTAAAATCAAAAAGGTCAATTCTTTCACGCGACGCAACATAGAGACATTGGGGGTGTGCACTATATTCACACGTTTTCCATAGGTCCTTTGACGATACATCCTCGTGAGCTTGAGGGTCCCTAATTGTTTCAATTTCATATTTGTTGATTTTACTAGAGTACATTAAGAGAAAATATTGTTACATGAGTTTAACTACTTTTGATCGGTAATTGTATCGTGAATAATCCTGAAATTTACTTTGCTTGAGATTTGTGTCTTTCTGCTCTCCATACATATATACCACCGCCACAATCTACAATTGCAGCTTCACCATATAACTTAGGATTAAAAGAAACATGCGTATGTTCAAAACTAGTCCTAGTACTATGATTTAACACCGTATCTAACGCAACTGGCTTAATTAGCCCTTGAGCAGTGCTAAATGAACAATCCGATTCAGTACTCATAGCATGGAAGAATGTTGTTCCGATTGCTGTACGAACAGCTAGAAAGGCTGCGTAAAAAGACATAATAAATAAAAAATATCTAAACCTTACATGGCGAACAAACAAAATATTTAAATTTGCCTTACAAGGTGTAACATCATTAGGATTAGGGAACATAAAATCCCACCTCTCTGAAATAGATGATGTAATTTGTCTAACTGGGGTTTTAAATTTTAACGTAGTCATGGCTGATAAGTTAAGTTCATGTTGTCCAATATAATATTCTGAACCTCGAAGCTCTTTATCATATGACTCATCGTATGGTTCTGATATAGGCATAAGGCCTTTATTGTGACGATTTAAACAGTTAATTTCAATCCTTTAAAACTTGAAACACTGAAAATAGTATTATGAACCTTGCAGCTCTTTGCCATATGGTTCATCATATGACTCTGATAAAGGTATAAGGTCTTTATTGTGGCGATATTAGTAAGTAAACAGTTAATTTCAATCCATTAAAACTTGAAATTTTGAAATAAGAAATTAATTACTTAAGTCTGTTCCTGCAATACCCATTGGAAACGCGATAAACTTTTTCAATGTTTGTGCGCTTTTTTTATAATATCCAATTGAAATTAGTTGACTGCTCATATATGGATCATATTTTTCGCTTTTATAATCATTGTAAGCTTCTTTAAAAAAAATTCCCTTCATAAATTCTTGCGGAACATCGAATTCTGGATTAGTGCTCTGCAGAAATTGTGCCTAGATTGAAATTTCGTATTTGTAATAATTAATCGGCAACCCGAACGATCGAGGATAAATTTATAAAGGAAATACAATGACTAAAATTACAGATTGTGCGGCATATTCTTTTGCTGTTCTTATATTTGCATTAAAGTTTACTGGGCTATATCGACGCGTATGCGGAAAGGTCTGGATAATTGGGGAAAGTTGATAAATCTCCGGATTGCTGTTACCTAAAATGAAAGATACAAAGTTTATGTAAAATGCACAATAACTTGTAAGAGTCAATTTAATATAACATATTCGCGCTTACGTATTGAAGCGTTCGCGAATTCCCATTTAATAGCGTCTGGCGTACACTGATTATACACGAAACCTCCAAAACTCCCGAAATTCAAGGCTGTTGAAGTGGTAAGGTAATCTGGCCACGTACACCAAGGTGCCGCCTGAAGTTTGACGTTAGTGGACATTTGTACCCTAGCTTGCAGGATGCATGACTTCGTAAAATTGGGTATTTACCATCGAAAATATCACGGAGATTTCCGTCATATAAAATACACCAGGGAATATACCAAATTGGGAAATTGGTTTCTTTGAATCCTGTGTGAATTCGTGGATTTGATTGGCTTCACGTAAAAAAATATATTAACTCAGCAGGGCTCTTAATGTAGAATTTAATTTAACGTTACACGACTGACTTCGAACATCTTGTATTACTCCATTGTGGATAGATCTAGCGGAGAAACAAAAATTCAGCAGATCGGCCCGAATTATGGGTCGGAATGCACTGGCGTTGATTAATTTTGCCCAAAATTTTACTAATGAAACCATAGCCCACAGCCCACTCACTAAATAAAGCTGCCCAGATGATAATTTTGGTTATTTCTTAATGCCGGCCTAAATCCGACCTATAATTCGGATCGATCTGCTGAATTTTTGTTTCTCCGCTAATCTATCCCTCGATTGTTCACCCCCTGTAATTTTGACCAATCGAATTTCAGAATCAGGTGTAACGAAACGAACTAAATTTTAACAAGTTTTTACGCTATCGCTATGAAGAGCAGGGAGGTTTAGTAATTGATGGTATATACAGTATATGGGGGTGAGTCAATAGAAATCAAGCAAATTGTTTTTATTGAATTTTTTTAAAACTTTATATACCAATAATTTAACCAAAACTTAATCAAATTTAATAAAAATTTTTTTAAACAAATTCTATAAGTTTGTAGAATTTATTTAAAAAATTTTTATTAAATTTAATTAAGTTTTTGTTGAGTTATTGTTGTTTAAAGTTTAAAAAAAATTTACTTAGAAAAAATTTGCTTGATTTCTATTGACTCAACCCCATATAGTTAAATGGTAGGAATTGATCACATGTAAATTAGGCTGTAAGGAATTGGATTTATTTATTTGTGCTAGTAATAAAATTCAAAAAAAGGAAATTTAGCTTTGTAAATAAAGTGTATAAAAACACAAATTTAGAGTTAGAATGTTATTATTTTTGAAGATGAACCGAAATTACTAATGCTAATATTATATATAACATAGTTCAATTGACCAGCCTGACCAGTCAACTAAAACTAAAACAACACTTTTCTGCAAAATTAATATAGGAAACAGGGTTTCTTGTATTAAGAAAAAGGAAAGAGTACTTAAAAAGAACCCTTAGTTTATTAGAATAACCTTTGACAAAACTTTAAAACTAGCAACAAAATTTAGACTTTCGAAAATTTTTAGAAAATTTTTTGAAGTTTTTAGAAAATTTGTTTGACCCAAAAAATCTGATCTTAGAGGCACGTGAAAGCAACAACAAAACAAATGCATAAGATTAGTAAACAAACAAACAAACAAATATTAGATCGCGTTCTACTTTTAGACACAACAATAACAACAAATCAACAAACAATTCACGTGACTTTCAGAAACAACAACAAATCAATACAACCAACGTGACCACTAGCAA